TATATGTATGTATATATAGCAATTTGCATAAACAAATATATATATATATTACAAGTGAGTTACAAAGAGGGTCTCCTGGGGAGGGAAGAGAAGAATTTGTCTCATCAGAAACTCCAAATGAGGCATCTCTTTATCTCTTTTGTTCTCCGGGGACTTCAATCCAGAGCTTCATTTAATCTTGGATGGAATATGTAGTTATCACAGCAGGTTGCCATCCCTGGGTCTGTCATCTACAGAGGCCTCTAATCCCTTCTGAAAGATTTGAAAGCCGGGAGCTGTCATCGCATCTGACAAAGGATCCTACGGGGTAACTACTGTCACTGTGGAAAACAGGGCAATTTTTTAAAAGACAAGTTGCCAAAAAAAAATTTTCTCGGCTCCTTCAATGTCTTCCTCATCTTTGGGGGGGGGGGGAAACCCCTATAAGGGCACAGATTGTTTTCCTGTAGGTAGTCCTCGATTTATAAACATTCATTTAGCGACTGTTCGGAGTTACAACAGTACTGGGAAAGTGATTTAGGACTGGTCAGCTTTCATGCCTATGGTGGGACTAGAACTCACCGTCTCCTGGTGAATGGCCCAAAGTCGTCCAGCTGGCTTTCAATGCCTATGGTGGGACCAGAACTCACCATCTCCTAGTGACTGGATCAAAGTTACTCAGCTGGTTTCCATGCCTAAAGTAGGGTTACAACACACAATCTCCTGGTGATTGGGCCAAAGTCATCCACCTGGTTTTCATGCCTAAGGAGGGATTAGAACTCACCATCTCCTGGTGATTGGGCCAAAGTTACCAGCTGGCTTTCATGCCTAAGGAGGTACTAGAACTCACAGTCTCCTAGTGATTGGCTCAAAGTTATCCACCTGGTTTCCATGCCTAAGGCGGGACTAGAACTCACAGTCTCCTAGTGATTGGTCCAAAGTCATCCACCTGGTTTTCATGCCTAAGGCGGGACTAGAACTCACCGTCTCTCACTTTCTAGCCTTGTGCCTTAACCTCTTGACCAAGCTAGCTCTCTTTACCCAACTGGCCCTCCAGATGTAGGAGGAGAACCTGTTCCCAAGAGATGGGCTGCTACCAGGTGGGCTTATTCTCAACCTCCTTATTCTGAGAGGATGGATGCAAAACATCTCCATCTATCTCCACATCAGCGGTGGGATCCTTCCGGTTTAACAACCGGTTCGGTGATCACGCGTGTGCGCACAGTTCAATGAAAAATCACCTTCCGCGTTAGTGCTAGGGAATTAAAACAGCTGAGGCACGGCAATCCGCTAATCAGCTGCAAAGATAAAGGTAAGTAAAGTGCAGGGACGGGCCCAGCTGATTGTGGGAGCGAACCGGTTCGCTCCCAGCTGATCGTCAGAGCTACCGGTCCGGGTAGTATTTGAGATGATGAGCAGGGGTGGGATTCTACTTCCCACCCCTGCTCAACATCTCAAATATTTACTCAAATCTCACCGTTTCGTTGTCTCCGTGGTCCTGTTGTAGAAGCCCTCAATCCTGACCCTCAGACCCTTCTCGCCACTTCACGGAAGGAATAAAACCTCCTCTTTATCTTCTTCTCTTCCCAGACCCTTCATCCTTTCACATAACTCCAAGACAGGGGTGAAATGCTCCCAGTTTGGACCAGATTGCCTGATCTGGTAGCAATGGCGGTGGGTGGTTCGGAGAACCGGTAGCAAAAATCCCTGCCCCCCCCCCATTCCCAGCTGAGCTACGTGATCATCAGAGGCTTTTATTTTTATTTTTAAAAGCATTTTTTCTACAACCTCTTCGGCTGAAAAAATGCTTTTAAAAGTAAAAAAGAAAAAAAGCCTCTGATGATCGCGCGGCTCGGCAGGGATCATCAGAGGCTTTTAAATTCATTTTTTCTAAAACCTCTTTGGCCGAAAAAATGCTTTTAAAAGTAAAAAAAAAAGCTTCTGATGATCGCGCGGCTCAGCAGGGATCGTCAGAGGCTTTTAAAATCATTTTTTCTAAAACCTCTTCGGCTGAAGAGGTTGTACAAAAAATGCTTTTAAAAGCTTCTGACGATCCCAGTTGAGTTGCCTGATCGTCAGAGGCTTTTAAAAGCATTTTTCAACAACCTCTTCGGCTGAAAAGGTTGTAGAAAACATGGTTTTAAAAGTTAAAAAAAAAAAGTTGGCCACGCCCACCATCACATTACATCCCCACCCACCAAGCCACGCCCACAGAACCGGTAGTAACAAATTTCACATTTCACCACTGCTCCAAGGAGTCTGCCACCCCACCTCTCCCTCACCTTATTTGCTTCTATGACCCCAAAAGCAAAACAAACACATTTCAAAATGCGTCAACCCGGCTTCTAAAATAAACTTCCGTTTTGGGAACATCTGCTCCACAGCCAGACAGTGTTTATCCAGCAACCTTTCTTTTCTTTTCTTTTTTTCCCCCCCGCTTTTCTAATTTATTCCTTCACCTGTTATCACAGTCTCCCACCAGCTTCCGGAGAGACCCCCACTCCGATCACGCTGAGAAAAATGCTTCCCGTTCTCTGCTAAACATCCAGGTAATTTATTGGCACACCTTTAAGTAATTTTGTTCGCAATCTTCCAGAAATCAGAAATACCAATTTAGACTAATTTAGACTTCAAGGCTGGACACCGGGAGAAGGCAACCAAAGCTCCCTACAGCCTATGGCGGTGATGGTGAACCTATGGCATGCATGCCAGAGGTGGCATGCAGAGACCTCTTTGTGGGCTCGCGCGCCATCGACAGATGTTCTTCTGGTTTCCATCGGGTCTTCGCAGGAACCGGAGCGCCAGAAAACGGCCGGAAAACAGCCCAAAAAACGGCCTGAAAAATGGCCCCCAAAACGGCCAAAAACAGGCATGTGCGTGCCGGCGAGCTGGTCTTCAAATTTCTGGTGCTCCAGCGTGCGTGAAGAGCAGCTGGCTGGTGCGCACGCATGTGCCGGAAACCCAAAGATCAGCTCAGTGAGTGCATGCATACCGGCCAGAGGTGAAATGCTCCCAGATCGGACAGGATTGCCCGAACTGGTAGCAATTTTTCCCTGTGGTTCGGCGATCCGGTAGTGATTGCTGCCCGGACATTTTTTTTTACCGTCTGAGCATGTGCAGAAGGTTTTGCGCATGCACAGAAGGGTGAAGCGAGCGCTTCCGAAGCGGTAAGGAAGGTAAGTAGATTTCACCCGTGGTACCGGCCAGCTAGTTTTCGGGTTTCCGGCGCTCCAGTGTGCGCAGATGCATACACATGCATGCACATTCCGCTTTGGGCACCCGGTGCCGAAAAGATTCACCATCACTGGCCTATGGGTTTTTGTTTTTTTTTAATTTGATTTATAGGCCGCCCTTCTCCGGAGACTCAGGGCGGCTTACAATGCGTTAAGCAATAGCCTTCATACTTTTGTATATTTATACAAAGTCAGCTTATTGCCCCCACAATCTGGGTCCTCAATTTACCTACCTTAGAAAGGATGGAAGGCTGAGTCAACCTTGAGCCTTGGC